AAGTAGTTTATCCAAGTAAAGGAAAATCAACGCTCAGCATCAAACTACACAATCCACCCCTATGGATTCTATCCTGAAGTTAAGAGGAGATTTCTGGAACCACCAGTTTTCACACTTTTCTCCAGCAGAAAAGGGAATCTCCAGATTTCTGCTGGTGGATCTCAGATTTGATACTGACCTGACGGCAGTAAGCTCTTCTTGACGTTACTCCGTTCTGTCTTACCTATCACATCCAGCTTTGAGTTCTGGGCATCCCAAGCTAACCTAAAGGCTGGCAGCTACAGCCCCACTCGGTCCCCCTCAGGCTTGGCCATGTGTTTCTTTGCAGCAGCTTTGAACTATTTCAGCATGCTAAATCATCGAGAAACTATCTCAGGCGAAGTGCATAGCTTCCTGCCAGCTTTGTGCTCCAAACAGGTTCAGTGGAAGGTCAGACAAGCTCACAGCCTGAACACAGGGCAAGAGAGGCAGCAGGGCAAGCCCGGGAAGTCGACAGCTAAATTGGTTCAGGCTGCCAAAGAACTGGATCATCAGACTTTTCAAGACTTGCGGATCTTAGTGGACAACTTGCTAAACTCTCAGGGTTGATAACGTATTTGAACTGGGTATATGCATGATTTGTACATATGCCTAGAGCAACAGCTAAGCAAAAAAAAACAAAAAAAAATTTATTGCAATTTGGCAATTAGTTGAATTTCAGGACTGAAGTGCTAACATATATTCCCCCAGATGATTGCTCTACATATGCTATTTGCTACAGCCACTGGATAAAGAAATTTTTGGAGAGATGCCAACTAAGCTATAACTTCTGGCAGCTGACGCTCCTGCTTTCCTTTTGCTCCTCACATCTCCTTAGGTACAGAGCACCAAGTCTGTTAGCATCTACTTTGCTGCCCAACACCAGCTTCTTTGCATAACTGGAAAAATCAGCGTCTGTATTTCTTATTTTGTACAGAATTTTTACACTGTTTTTAAACAAAAGGAGTACTGTTCACAGAATGGCAGCTTTGACCAGTGTTTTGAAATTAAACTGAAAAACAAAAGGATGCCTCAGTTTTGGCAGCTTCTGATTTCTTTACTAATTTTCCACTTTGGTATTTCAAATTTTTCAAAACATTGGCAATTTTAAAACTGCCTGTGTAGTTTTTGGGAGAGTGGAGGAACTAATTAATTACAATAGGAGCTAGCAGTAATCCCTAGAGTAAAACACTTTCCACTAAAGAACTTTCCTTCTTTTTGACAGGCTCTGCTAATGCCATTTTTGTAATGGGCAACTAAAATTCAGTGAAGCTAGAGTCATCTGAAAAGAGAAATGCCTCTCCCCTACTGAAGAGGACTTCAGATTATTACAAATAAATTAATGAATAAATTCACCCTATAAGTTATTGCATTCTTCAGAAAATTCAGGTAGTCCATCAAAACAGATGAGCACAAAGGAAAGAGCTCCATGTTGCCTTAAAGAAAGCAGCTTTGTCATCTCACTGCGGTGGGAAACCATGGAACTGCTGGAACAGGACAGGGATGGCAGGGAAAGGACGAGCATCAGTCTCTACTCCACCTTCCCACTGTAATCCCAGATTAACAGCGGGGTAATATTCTGATTTTCTTTCTCCCATTGCTCAAGAACATAAAATAAAGCAGAAATTTGACAAATTCCAAGACAGCAGCAAAGACCACTGAGCTGAGTTTTGCAGTAAAACTTCCCAAACACAGTAGATAGCTATTTTGCCACAGGGTATATATGATAATGATACTTTCTCCTACTCCTACCAATTAACTCCATGGCACAGAAACCTGCTGTAGTGCTTTCTTCTTACTGTCCTACAGTGCTTGTTTAAAAGTAAGTATTTTAACAGAGTCTGTTTATAGGGATAAATCATGGACCACAACCCAAAGGCCTCATGAAATACTGAGTTGATTGTACCCCAGAGCTTTCCATCTGTATGTTCTCTCCTCCCACAGTACTCATCCTTGGGACAGCCAAAGTGGTGCTTCACACCTAGCTCCACAGCCTCCAAGAAGCATTTCCACACAAAGTTGATGGGTATGTAGGAAGAAAGAAGTAAAGGCAGCCTTTAAGCTGTGATGGCAATTTGAAAACTATGCCATTAACTGTGCACAGCACCTGCCATCAATAAACACACACCTTTTCAAATATACAGGAAGGGAAACAAGTCTAAGATGCTTTACAGTTACTAAGAATTCATTTCTTGGAGTCCACCATAAAAACTGGAGATAACGATATTTTAGGCACCAGAAAATATTATAATGGGAGCAAGTTGTAATTCTATTACAGATTTCCCCTTCCTGCATTCTCAAAAGCTTTGCCTATGCCATTTCTGCAACAGGCAATTGTAACCCCCCCCTCGCCCCTCCATGACTGACTTCAGAGATCTGTATCACATCCTCAGTTCTAAACTGAGCTTAAGCTGTAAACTTACATTTGGTGCTCCACAGTGCGTGTGTTTGAAAGCAAATACTTACTGATGTGAAGGCCAAAATCTATTCCAGGTTTGGGAAAAAACCCACAAACAATAGTCTACTTCAAGTATACAACAACCACCCTCACCCCGCCCCCCTCGCCAATGTCTGTCTTTAAAAAAAAAAACAAACGACAATGAACCTGAGGGGAAAAGTAGACAGAAATTTTTTTCAGAATTGTAATATCTGTTTTAGTATAATTTCTCTAGTTACATTTGTAATCTAATGGACAATACATGACAGTAATCACTCTTCCCCCCCCCAAGTGTATAGTGCTGGAAGCCTAAATTTTTGTCATGTTGTAAATAAAATCAAAACACTACCCATTCTCCTTAACTTTTTAGTGCTGAGGAAAGTTTCTTTTCTGAGAATAAAACATAATGATTTCATGGGAACTACAGCAGGTACTTTAAAAATTATTCCTCCTGACAACCTACACTACTACTCTACTTGCAATACTCACGCATATTTGGCTATGTTGAAATGTCAACCAAGCCAAGACTTCTTTTTTAAAACTATATATTAAAATTGTTACCTCCCAGTCAGAAGCCTTTTATGACATCAATATTTGAAAGATCATATATAAGGTTACATACATAAAGTCTCCTATATAAAGTCTTCTTTGTATTATAATTATCCTTTACCTAACTGCCTAAAATAGGCAAAATTAAAGAAAGTCATTTAGATTGCAAACTCAAATACCTGAAAGACAGAAATTATGTTTTGTTTCCCTGTACCATCTTAATTCCTCCCAGTTTTTGCAATAATTGAAGCAACCACCTCTTGGGAAAAGAAAGCAATCATAATTAAATGCTATACAGCAACATGAAAGGGGATTCATTTGATGTTCATGAGAGAAATAAGCATGATGCCTCCTAGTGGCTAAATAGAAAAACTGGAAACTAAAATGGCATTAGTTTGATACAGTTGAAAAACCCAGATAATTTAACTGAGATTACGTCAAAAAGAAAAGCAAGAACTCTCCCATACACCAACCAATTTTGAGCCTTGAGTGTTCAAGACCAGGCAGTCTGCTGATGCTCAGGCAACCTCTTCGGCTGACGGCAGCAGGAGACTTTTTCCCCCCACTGTGGGCTGACCCTGGGGAACAGCTGAGCTCACACCCAGCTGAGCACTCACTCCCTGCTCCCATGGGATGCAGAGAAGACGGAAGGATGATGAGGAGACTTGCAGGTGGAGGTAATGACAGTTTAATAGGGAAAGCAAAAGCTGTGTGCCCAAGTAGAGTGGAAAAAGGAACTGATTCACTGCTTCCCGGAAAGCCAGGCCTCAGCACGCCCGACAGTGGCTCAGGGAATGGAAGACAAATGCCATAGCCACAAACGTCCCCCCTTCCTCCTCCTCCTCCTAAGCTTTAGTCACCAAGCGCCACGTCAGATGGTACAGAATAGTCCCTTGGCCAGTTTGGGTCGGTTGTTGAGCCTGGGGGAACCTGCTCTCCTGAACCCCACGGCTTGCTGCTGTTTTGGCATGACGCCAGGCTGGAGTACAAGCAACAATAGGAAACAGGGATTTTTACGAATTTCTAATTCTCTTAAACCTCTGTGGAATTTCATGAAACAATGAAAAAGACACATTTGGGACAGAGGACTTTGTCCACA